CCAAGACAATAAGTTAAGGCAGCCTCCATTTTAATAATGTGCTGCACAGTTCTCCAATACAATTGCCGGGTTGGTACCCCATAATAGAAGTTATTTTCTGGTTAGATCGCGTAAACATAAATGTGTCGTTAAACCCGCCACCACCCGACGCAGCCAATTAGTAAAGTTTGACACGTACACAGAACTTGGCAAATTATTACTCGTTTGGCACACCGGTGTGTTGGAGAATAAATCCACAGCATTTGCAATTTGAGTATGACGTTCTACCGGTTAATTGCAAGCAGCCGCATCAGGCGTGCCATCTTAATTGGCACGATGTCCGACGTTCCGCTGCACGTTCCGGGGAGTTTAAGCACCCGAATTCAGCTGTTTTGTACTAACCTTATATTATTACCGAAAAATAACCGTGATCCCAAAGCATTGGTCCCCCTAATGATGCCGGTGCTGCCCAAAGTTTCTACCGAATTCATCATCGGACACGCGGGGCCACACAGGATGCTCGGTCGCTCGCTTGCAGGGCGGGCAAGCATGATGCCTTTGCGGAAGTTCAATCGTTTTTCTCACTCGTCAGTGCGAGCCGCCGATTTGTGCCTCGCGAGAGCCTGGACGGGGTTGGTGAAGGTTGACAGGAGGTGTTAAAGTGGAAGGGGGGGGGTGTGAAGGAAATATTGATGGAGGCTGGGGGAGGAGGAGTGCACGGGCGGATGGTGGCCACGGCTCAGTTTCATGGACATTTTGCACGGTCGGATGTGATGTCTTCGAAATGACCCCGTCGTGTTTTGGGAAATGGCACATTTATTCCTCTCCCAGGCTCGCTCGAACCAACGCACGAACGTGCGTTGTTTATTATTGTTTTTCAACAGTTTTCTGTGATGATCTGAGGATACAGAGCATGGTAGGGGGCAGGGGCGGGGGTGTGGCTAGAGGTCCGGTGCCCTTCACTTTGTGCGAGCGAGTGGCCTTCCATTGTGTGGCTTACTGTGGAAGGGTCCTCCCTTAGGTCAGCTTGGCCTGCACAATACCGATGTCAAACTGTGCAGTGGACGTGTCTTTGTTATTAATTGCCGGCCGGCAACGAGCCCGTTCTGTCATGGGGAAAAAAAAATTAGTTAGATTGTGAACCGAGTAGTTAATGAACAAGTGTGCAGAATGTTTATACGTTTGTTTGTACGGCGATGAGTAATCTTTATTGTTTTTTGAGCACGTAGCAAGATGCCAACCGCTGCACAGCTTAAAATCTTGGTAATTTAGACAAGCAAAGGGTTTAGTTGATATTTTTTAAAATATAAAAGTGCGCTTTTTCTCGGCACGTTATCATGAAATATTGTTCATTCCTCAAACGGCCAAGGTCAACCGACCAAGGTTAACCCGCCAATTGTTTTACTCGTTCTCCCGATTGACCATTGACATCATGCCATGAGACAAAGTACCCATTTGGAATTCTGCCAGAGCAGTTCAAGCAATCTCATACATGTTAAAGGATGGCCCATGGATGCGGATATATCAAAAACATACTTTTTGTTACACGGCGGTCCAACTGATATATTTAATTCCGAGAGCCGGAATTTTTTTCCCGAATAAAGTGCAAAGCCAAATTTATTACGACGGTAGCCGTGCTGTGATCATCAACTCGCTGGCACTGGAGAACCTGGTGTATTCACAAGCAGCTGCCCAGATTCAACCCCAGATGTCATTCCAGAATTCTCACCACTGATCCATGTAGAATCCTGTGACCAAACGCCACTAAAGCAGAATTTGTCTAATAAAAATATTCTTTGGATTGTGACTTAAAATGCATAATTACTACAATATGAAAATTTTTAAAGGCCCTCTTTTGTACAGTTATGTGTTTTGAGTCTGTTTCTATTTCATCAATTAAATTTAAAACATTCCGTATCTAAATATCCACTTACAACAGAGCTACATGTGACTCAACTTCAGTTGCAAATCGTACATATCTCACATCTTGGCTGGTGCACAACAATTTAAGGACACTGTCCCGAAGATAATGTTGTAGAAATTATCTCGTGCCTTTTCAGGATGTCCACAGACACTTTCTTGTCTTCAGGAATTCTTGTCGCCCGATCAGGTCACTCACCCGATGCCTACATTGGCAAGAGAGAAAGAGGGTGGTGGGGGTAGCGGGGGAGGAAGGCAGGAGGAAGTACAGGCGAGGGAGGAAGAAAGGGGGAGCATGGAGGCTGGACGGCTGGAGAGGAATATATCTGTACATGTCCCCAGGGAGAGGGCCTGGCTGGCATTGCCCGATTCGTGTTCAGACAATAATGTTGCTGCCTGTATTCCCTGTTTGACCATGGCCAAAAGATATGACTGTTGAGACAACACCCCCATTGTTGTTGTCCGGCTGTCTCTAGCAAGCGTTGCATCAGCCATTCTGTTGTACAGTATTTTATATATATATTTTTTTATTTAACCATCATGACTGTTAAAATAAATAATAATTGAAATAAATATTTTAGAGGCACTGTTAAACGACGGCCTAGACATGCCGTGTCAGTCGTGAGGCTTGTGTTTGACCATACTTCACCGTACCGTTCACCGCGGCTTGGGCAATGCTCCAGGGGATCCTAGGACTTGTTCAGATGTGACTCGTCGTCGACGTCACCCGTCAAGAAGTCACTCAACAAACACCTCCCCCTGATACGACCCGACCCACAAGATCCCTGGCTTCGATCTTCCACAACCATCCCCAGCTCACACTAAACCGCGTCCGCACACAAACTATGGCAGCAGCAGATGCGGATACTTTGATGAAAATGATGATGATCATAACGCAAAACGGATAATTTAATAACTCGCCACTGCGTGCGACGACTGAGGTCACTCTGCACAGAATCACGAAGCAAATGACGACTAGATGCCCGATTCACAAAAACGGAGGAGGCGCTCCAGTGACACGTCACTCCGCTACTCCTAACGCAATTATCCGGCTCAACCACCTCAATGTAAAATGATAGTCGCTGCTCTACACCAACGTCAGCCGTACTAAGAAGATGATGACACCTGTGGCCCAGAATCGACCGCAGGTTGTTGGATGCATCGTGCAACGGTGTTAACTGAACAACTACCCTCAGCCAACATGGTGTGTGGGGATCTTGACCCAGCATTGTATTGACACGGTGCATGTAATGAATCTATAATTACAAACCACTACTACAGCTACGTACTTGGGACCTAGCAACCCGGAAAACATCGTACAGCAGAGTGGCTGACACAGTCCTTGCGAGAGGCAGCCAGACACAAATAATGGGGCCGTTTATACAAAATTAAACGTTTTAATGCTGCTCTGTCTTTCCCTCTCTTAATGGATACAAAAAACAAGTTTAAAAAAAATATATATACAGAACTCTAGAAAATAGACGACGGGGCTCGTTTATGTCACGTGGCCGGGGAACAGATGGGACTTGCTAAATTTGGGCAGATACAAGCGGCCCGTACTGGCTTACCGGCGACAGATAGCTCCATCCCACCCAAACAAAGCGGCATCTGTTGGGAGGTCTTTGCGTCGAACACTTGCGGGCGTATCGCTTCCCCTGGCACATGCTGGGTGGGGATGAACGAGGCCAAGCAACTGTGCGATGCATGCAACGGTCCTTCGAGTATGACAGCCATTCATTAGGAGCTCGCGGTGCACACAGCACGCATTCAGAGACGCGAGTCAAAGTGTCGCTGTGCTCTAAATGTGCACCAGGCTGTGCTTTGGGGTGCCGTGGTGGCAAGATGTTAACTCCCTCGCCTGGTATACAGGAAGGCGCGGGTTCGATCCCCAACCTGATGCCTGTTTATTTGGATTTTGCAAGTCTCACTCCCCGTGGCCGTGTGGATTTTTCTCCGGACCCTCTGATTTTTCCCTCCACATTTAGAAACATGCGTTTCGAGTATTTGACTGTGATATGTTTCAACATGATAAGCCACTTTTTTGAACTGTCATCTGTGGCCGGGTCACTTAGGAAAAAGAGTTAGCTAGCTTAGTTCTCTTCACTGGTGGCCCTGAACCATAGGTGGACATTCCACATTCCTCTGGTAGTGGGAGTCAGTATTTCCAAAGGAAACGGCATGATGTGATTGCTCTTCTAAGAAGCCACCTCAACTAGGATTTTAATTGACAAGCTTATGATTGCGAGTCTACCGCCGCAGCAGCTGATGCTGCGGCGGTATCTGGGAGAAGATAGAACGCGTTTGTGAAGTGTGGTGGCGTCAATGGCTTTTTGCCGTGATGACATCTTGATCTTGATCCGTCCTTTGTTTTGATTGCGAGTCGGGTGCCCCGACTGGAGCATCACTTGGCCACAACATGGACGGACAGAGTGAACCACAGCACAGTTGTGTTTGTAAAACAAGGCGCTCGTCTGTAAAACAAGGCGTTCGTCTAAAACGACTTGGGACATTTCTCCCGCTATTGCCGGGATCGTTGACGAGTGTTCCTCCGGTGTGACTGTTGGAGGCCTTGGCATTCGGCGTCTAGCGTGGCTTACACTTGAGAATCCGCGGTAATTGCCGGTGGCGTGAAACCTTTGAACCCATGGCGTCTGCGCAGTATCTGGGAATGGGATTATCCCGCGCCGGCGCTCGTTGCAGGGTTCCGCGGGGGTCCGGGCCCAGCGGCCGGCCTGGTCAAAACTGTGGGTGCATCAGCAATGGGGTACGCGCCGCTTGCTTCGGAGTGGGCATTGAAGTTCCCGTGACGTTATTAGAAAAAAGAGTAGGCCACCTCAGGCGCACCTGGGGTCATTGTCCAACTTGGATCCATGACTCGTGTTATTGTTTAATGAGGAAGCAGCATCACGTCTTGCTGGCAGACCCGTGCCCACGTGGCTGTTGGTGCTGTGTCTTACAGGGCCAGCTGGTGGGGGTGGGGGGGGGGGGGGGGTTACCAACAGGGCACCTCGAGATGTGCCGCACGGGAGGCGCTGCATAGATATTAAGCGACGACGACGACGACGAGAACTCACACAATTTGCCGTCTCTCTGCTTCCCAGGAGTCATATCCTTCGGGAGCCAGTCGCAGGCCATGAGCGAGCGGGAGGGAGGCGAGCTCACGCCGCGCGCCACGAGGAACGGGTTCGGCTCGACGGAGCCGCCCAGCGGGCCCCCCAGGGCGACGGAGCCGCCCAGCGGGCCCCCCAGGGCGACGGAGCCGCCGGGCGGGGATGGCGGGGTTGCCCCCGGCGAACCGGCGCTGCTGCCGCGCCCGCCGTGGAAGGGCATCGGCGTGGAGCTCTTCGGCTACGTGGGCATCGACGCGGTGCTGGAGCAGATGAGACGAAAGGCCATGAAGCAAGGGCTGGAGTTCAACGTCATGATCGTCGGTAAGTGCCACCGGCGGGCACGGCCGGAGCGACGCTCGCGACGGCGAGCGGAGCGCCGGGCTGGATAAAATGCAAGACGTCGTCACGGTGGGGAGCGCAGGTGTGGTACCTTTTGCCGGTCGTGCTCGGTGAACCCATAACACCTGGATCTGTACCTTGACGTCCTGCCAGCAAGCCTTCAACGCTTCACGTGGCCTCAAAGTACATCTAGCCTGGCAAAAGTGCCGTGGTGATGTCACTGGCCACGTAGTGGCAAATGTTGTCAGGGTGGTGCTGGTGATGGATGAACCAAGCTTAACTTAAAAAAATTATAGTAACATCTTCACGAAAGGATCCTTAAATTTCGATTTAAAGCTTTTGTGACTGCAGGGATTTATATTATTGGTTCTTTCGGTAAAGTCACGTAGAAGGGAAATAAAATGATAACAATAAAACAATAAAATTCTCACAACGTTTAGATTGCAACACAAGCAATCTTCAGGTGTGAAAAGCACAGCAATAATTTGTTTTGCTGTGGTTTTACGTGACTTTACCGAAAGAGCCAAGAATTTGAAAGGATCCTTGCTTATGGCATCTGGTAGTCCATCAGTTCCGATTTGGGCAGGCCTGAATCTGCTGATGAGACGCTGTATGTCAAAGCTGGACTAGAGTTTGCTTGTACTGAGTCAATGCCGCTGATGTTAAACACTCCCAGAATACCGTGGGCCCGATGGGTTGCTTCAAGAATACTTTTATAATGTTTTCATGTGGAGAGACACATCTATGAAGGGACATTGTCTGCTTATCTGTTTTCGTGCTATAAGAACGACTAGCTTTACTACCCAGCTTCGCCCGAGATCTGGATTCTTTTCTCGGATTAATACACGGCCTATGCGGTGGGTGGTGGGGTGTGTGACGTCAGCAGGCACACAGCGTAACGCTGCCGCATGCGGGTGACATCACAGATGAGACGTCACCGCTCACTTGCCGTGCAAAATATATGCATTACTGCGCCCCGCCCCCCCCCCCCCCCAAATACAAAAGTCTATTTTTATACTTTTTGCATTGTGTCCAGTATGGAATCTACCCACATGCCACATTTCAAGTTTGTTGCATGTTGGGAAGTATGCTAAACATTTCGAACAGACATATCATGTCTTCCTGCGCAAATGAGCATGTGGTGGGCCTTAACAAGTGGTGGAAATTCCACATTGTCATGGTCGGGACCAGTCTATCCATGGTTGCTCTGGCGTTATTCCACAAGTAATTTGAAACATTCCCATATTGCCCGGAGTATATAATTTGATTTACGGTGAAGAATGGCTGATTTAAATATATTGCCTCATCGCATTCTCCAGTTTTTCTCTCAGCTCCTTATTTTGTTTAATTCTAACCGTTGAACGTGCAGCGTTATTTGTACGTGCTTAAAACTGGCAGTTTACTGTTGCAGTCGCACTGCCAGGGATTAAGCGCTCGATTGTCTGCGGGATGCAGCTCAAGCCAACAGAAGTCTTTCTCTAAAACGGTCTCGGTCCAAATTAATACGGAGTAATCTTTGTATCGGGGAAAAAATAACCCCCTAAGAAACGGTAACTCTGGTTGGTTTTTAGGCCCTTCGTTAAAACACACGTTATACATACTCTTTGGTTCCTTCGGTAAAGTCACGTAGTTAGAAATGAAATAAAATAAAGCAAATCACGACGTTTCGATCGCAACACAAGTGGTGTTGCCATCGAAACGTCGTGATTTGTTTGTTCAATTCTAACGTGACTTTACCGAAAGAACCAAAGAGCATGGATTCCTGCAGTCACGAAAGCTTCAAATCAAAACACGTACACAATGTGCAGCACTTGCATCAATACGCTGCCGGACAAGGGCCTCCCTCCACTGTGTGTCGACCTGACTGCCGTTCAGAGTAAAGGTAATCTAGAGGTTAAACAGCGGCGCAACGATTTCACACTGAGCTCTCAAGCTGGTAACCAGAGTTAATTCAATCTCCCGGCGATGGCAAGCAGAAGCGCTGCGCAATATCAGGACCGGTGCTCAGCCGCCCCTTCACCAACAACCACGCTCCGATCGTCTGGGCGGCCCAGGGGTTCCTGAAGACGCGGGGCAGGATGCCGTTTGGCGGGGCCCCGTTAATCATGAGCACAACAAACACAGGCCTGGTGAGGGTACCCTTCTTTTGTATGACACCCGTGAGCAAATTGCTGGCTCTCCCCCCATCCTCCTCTTCCTCCCACTCCTACTGGACATCTGTGAAAAAGAGCTTCATAGCTCATCGGATTTCTCCAGGATAAATACAATTTTTTTTTATGCGGGTTAAAAAAAAATCAACTCGCATCATGGCACCGAATGACAAACGGCTGCGAATTAATGCGGTAACATATAATGCACGTTCTCCACCGAAACGTACAGAGGGGGGTTCCAATCGCTAGAGGCGATCACGTTGCCGGCCACAGCAGCGCTGATTGTGAACCGTAACACGACGGAATTGCGCGGTGATTCAGGCCTGAAGCTGCCGTGTGTGTGTGTGTGTGCGCGTTAACAACGCGTGGTCACAATTAGTGACAGTTCATTCCTAGAGGTTAATGTTCAACAGCTGCTGCGTGCTCTGTGTTCCCAAATACTCGCCCGATGGTTGTTTGTTTCTTTCCCCCCGGCCAGTCAGATAGGTATGTACATTTTGTGTGTGTGTGTGCGCGCACTTTACTCAACTAAATAGTCGCAAATTGTTTCCATATGAAGTATGGGCGCAGTTACCGCAAAGTCAAAATTCCCATAAGATGGAGTTGAGCCAGCGGCTCAAAGTGTGGAATTGACATGCCCTTGGCATCGAGTGGTTCCTGTGTTCCAACGTATTTAATGGTTTTAACTAAGTCTGTGATAATAAAACGAATATGCAAACCTTTGCACGTATTGGGTTCTGATTCCAGTTACCCGCAGTGAAAACTGGTCACAATGCCTTGGGGTTCCAATTAGGATTGGGTGGGTGCTCTTTTACGTTTGTTGACTCTGATCCAGTGGTGGAAATTCCGCATTACTCTGCAAGCCCCATTGTATTCGTAGAACGACGACCGTTGACTTCCTTTCAAAGTGGTACTTCATTCTCTTTGGTTCTATTCGGTAAAGTCACGTAGGTAAAAATAAAATAACAAAAAAATCACGACGTTTCGGCCACAACACAAGTGGCCTTCATCAGGTGAAGGGACCGGACTGTCCAGAGGACAACGTTGGAGTGAAGACAGCCAAGCCCAGGTCGCGTCCTTTAAGCTGTGTGGGAAGAAAACAAAAAAACGCCTTGACAAAGGAATTAGCATAAAATGATGTACTGGACCGGCACGGTGGGGGGGGGGGGAGTTTACATAATGTTGGTGTGTATTTTTACCTACGTGACTTTACCGAATAGAACCAAAGAGCATGGATCCTTGCAGTCACGAAAGCTTCAAATCTAGAATTGGTACTTCATTTGTTCAAATCTGCACGTATGAGCAGTCGAGTCCCTCCCCAACGGCAAATGTAATTTGTAACCTCATGATTTTGACTGTATTCAATTAATAAGGCTGAGATGACCTAAAGGAGGCCCCCTTGATGCGCAGTTACTGGGATTGTAAGCGCAGTGCTCTATCTACTGCGCCCCTGCTCACGACAAACGCGCGTACACAAATTGCAGCCACATGCCAGCGGATGTGAAGCGATTAAAACTCGGCGGCTGATTTGACATCCTTTGGAAAACAGTATTTGTGACCTAAGTGGTCAGCGCTGACCCAAAGTGACCCCCCATGACCTTTGTGAGGTTTCGTTAGTCTGTCGCCTAGGGCCAATGCCCTATAACTCCTCGCCCTGTCACAAGCTTACAGCTGCCTGTCCGTCAAGGAGCAGATGGCATGCATTTTTTGTTGTTGTTGCTGGTCCTTTCACGGGAAGGGCAATGGTAAAGTTCAGTTTGGCTAATTTGCCCGTATTAATGGCCTGGGAGATATAAATGGCAAGCACCGGAGCCTGCTTAACAGTGGAATTGTTCAGAGACTTTTGGCTCAAATACATTGGTAGAAAGGGAATGTTTGATCCTAGAGGTCATTATGGGTTGTTTTACACAACGTTTTTGTTGGAGAGATTACGACTCACTGGTTTGGGGCCAGGGACTGTGCATTTTTTTGTTTTCAAAAGAAATGGCATTTTCATTGGTTGCTTCAACACCTGTTGGAGTTGTTGTTTAAACTGGCAGTCTCGGATTTTACTTCACTTCAGAATAGTATATAACGGGGGTATTTGTCTTAACAAAATAAAAAAAACATACTATTAAAATGTACATTACTTTTGCGCACATTCTTATATAATGTACAGTGTAAACTATTCCATTTGAATTTTAATAATTTTATGAACTCACATTTTTTTTACCAAATTCAAGACAAATCAAAACAGCCCTTTGACAGACAGTGAATCGGAGGAATGTGATTGGACTTTTTTTTCTGGAGAGTGAGACATTAATTTCAAGATGGCACAAAATCTCACAAAGCCACACTTTTTGAGCAAACAAACAAATACGAAATATTTATCGTCATGAGCAACCTTCTTGAGTGAGCTGGCATGATTCAGAGAATGCCAGAGTGTTTTCACTACGAAGACATATGATTGTAAAAGATTATTGATGCTTTGGGTTTTTTGTGTAAATCAGTTTCATGGTAATTGACTGCAATCGTTTGAAGATATAACTAATAATATGCCCAGGATGCATTGCTGAAAACCAGAACGTAAAGCGAAAGTACTTAAGCAAAGAAATTTGGATGGTGGATCGTAACGTGGTATAATAACAAAGCAGACGACGCTCAGTAACCCATTGCGCATCTATACTGGACAGCCATCGGTGTGAAAAGCAAGTATGTTTTGGCGATGACGTGAGGGGGCCTGAGTCCAGCAGTGGATAGACAATGGCTGCTGATGACATCTAATTTATTTATTTCAGTTTCCAGGCTTAATTGGCATGGTTTACCAATGTAGCATATGCAGTTTATCTCCAT